AGTTGCGTTGGGGGTATCTATTAGGAACGTAATTGTATTTGTTTTTTTTTTGCTACAATAAACATATGTAATTCTAAAGAGTAGTTGTACATTAATTAGCAATGCGAAATTGCTTTGAGATTTTAGTACAAATGTTGCTCTAATTTATTTGCAATTTAAACGATTCGGTACTACATACTAAAAATGCCTCTGAACCCCTTTCAAAAATTTACTGGTTTCGGTGGACCCCCTGCTGCCACATTTCTACCATATTCCCAAAACTCCACAAAAAATTTGAAGATTAGAGAGCCAACGATGGAATATGCAATTTTTTTTTTTTACAAGAGAGAGGGGTTTATTCCAAAACGTCAATATACAAAGCAGCAGTGCCTTTTATTTCTAAACCTCAGTAGATTGTAATGCCAAATGTGCGCAACCACGGTTATATGATAGTTTTCAACTATATTGCGCTAGTTAGGCTTTTTCGTCTAGTGCGGTTAAGAAATAAAAGAGACTGCTGCCTTGCATTTTGACGTTTTAGAATGCACCCCTCTCTCTCGTTCTTAGGAGTTATATTTTTTAAGAGCACTCCAATTTCCAAAATTCAGAACGCTGCACAGTGTGGCGACTAGAAGAAGCTAGTTGGATAAAATTATTTTATTAGTGTTTTAGATAGATACGGTCGAAATTAAAAAAAAAATTCTAAGACCTGGGTCGGAAATACCCATTGACCCAAAAAGTGTATGATGAAAAAGAGTAGTTTTATTTTTTGTGGCATACATTTTAAAATATTACAGCTATAGGCCAAATGAATATTTTTTAGAAAGAGAATTTTAAGAATATTTTTATACTTTATTCTAAAATATCCTACGTATTAATGAAACAAACTTTTTTCTGGGTTTAAAATTTAAAAAAGACAACAACTTTTCCATTGCTTTCAAAAATAAAAAAAGTTTTGCATGAAAAGTAACGGTTTTAGTTCTATTTCTATTTTACTTTTATGTTCTCGCTACACCCCTAGTGATATATTTACTGTATTATACATATGTATGTATAGATTTCCCTGATTTGAAACCACACAGCAGCGGACGACGGTAAAGCGGTCGACGGTTAAAAGCGTAAACAGACGGCAGCGTTGATCCAGATCAACTCGGGAATTAGCTGCAGTTGATCCGGATTAAGTCCGAGTTAATCCGGATCAACGCTGCCGTCTGTTTAAGCTTTAACCGCTGTCAAAATAAGAACTCGCAAAGGGCTATGGATTAGCTCATAATTGCGGCGGCAGCGTTTTTACTGCCGACGTTTTTTGGTTGATTTAAAATTATTTCTATATTCACCGCTCAGCGGGGACGGCACAATGTTGATTGTAGTAATTTTTATTATTTTCACAAGTTTGGCAATGTTTTCATACATTTTTATTTCCAAAGAATCTACATACATACCCGCACGTACTGAAAACATATTTATTTATTTCTAAATCAAAATGTCAACTGACGGTAGCCGTCGTGCGTCGTAATTGTGTTTAGATACTCTTAGGTCCTTACTGTACAATGCGATGCGCTAGCATTCTGGACATTTCTAAATACATTTCTTTTAATGTAATGTAATGTAATGTTAATGTAAATGTAACTCATTTCCAATTCGTCTTTCAGCTTTGGATGTTGTTCTCTATGGCGCTACTTTCGCGGGAATGAAATTAGCTGGCGTCATTCTAATTGCTGTTGGCTTTTTCCTAGTTATGTTCCCCGAAAACTG